CAGGTGAAACAGAAAGATGCTATGAGTATCAGAATGCACTGCAATGATTAATACAGTCTCAGCCCTGAGATGTTTCAGGTGAAACAGAAAGATGCTATGAGTATCAGAATGCACTGCAATGATTAATACAGTCTCAGCCCTGAGATGTTTCAGGTGAAACAGAAAGATGCTATGAGTATCAGAATGCACTGCAATGATTAATACAGTCTCAGCCCTGAGATGTTTCAGGTGAAACAGAAAGATGCTATGGGTATCAGAGTGCACTGCAATGATTAATAGAGCACTTTCATTCATTTTAAGAGTTATTGTTTCATTAGGAAATTGCCTCTACATCTACAGTGTATGTAATGTAACATTTTTTATCAAGTAATCTAATGAAATATTCATGATATAGATATTAAAATGATGAGCATCCTTTCTCATTACTAGTTGATTCAGATAGCATGCAATATAAGTGTACTATATCATGAACATGTACTAGCATATAAAATAAAAAAATCTTCCAATACAGATATTATACATGCTCGAATGACAAACGCCTCTGATATTACTTGCAAAATAAATCATTGTTTTTTATTTGTTCAGAGTTTATTAAAATAATTCCCTTGAAAATATACTCTATCTTATATGACTTTGGTTATCTGATTAGTGATAGATTCAAAATGAAAATATGAAAGTTACAGAATTTGGCTTTCTCACAACAAGGTATGGTTGGCTCTGAGCGACTTATGAGGTTTCTCTTAAACTTAAGACAAAGCTAAAGACAAGATACCACTGAGGATTTGATTGATCCTGTAAAACACATTTGTAAAATACCTCTATATTCTTGGTAATCTAGACAAGCTGATCCCAGTGGTGTAAGGCAAATCATCAATAATAGATTTAACACAAATAGTCTCAGAGATGAAAGGATCTCTTGAAGTATTATACAACAGGAAATGTTATCCTAAATTATTGATTATAGGGCCATTATAGATCTCTAATCAAACTTGATTTGAGTGGGGGTACTTCAGTCAATGATCATTGCATTGCGAAGGTTCATTTATTTATTAAGTAAATGTTGGGTCAATGACTTAATTAGCTCAAATCAGATTGAATCATACCAAACTATGTGGTCATCATATTTTTGAACTGATATTGAGTAACTCACCAAATACAAATATATTGTCAAACCATCTCTGTGATGGACAAGCCTGTCAACCACTTTTTAAGTACATGTACCTCTATCTATGGAAGAGGGGATCTGTCTCAATGGAGATAAGTATACAGGAAGGAAATTGCAATTATCAAACATTATATTAGGTTTCATTAGACTTGATTTGGCTTCTAAATCACATTACTGATAAAATTCATAATATATTTGGAAGATATCTCTAATTCCTCAAATACAGTACTGTGATACATTTTCTTGATTAATCTATTCAAAGAATTTTCTTTTAAAGTTCTTAATTTGAAATGATGTCATATCTATAGCCTTATTTAGAATGTTGATATTCAAGTTATTTGAAGTGTTTATGTAAAGTTTTTTGGCTCACAAGAATACTTGAGACCCTGACAGTTATCTTAACTCAATCCTGTCTTAAAGGGACAACAAGGCCTGGAGAGAGAACATTTGGAAATTTTTTCCTTTTTCTGAGCTATCGGGGCAACATTTGGCTTAACATCTTCTTTGATCTACCTATTTTCTTAAAATATATGGATAAACTATCAATTTCAGCATTAAGAAGTGTAAATTCAGTTCAAAGCTTCTATAAAGGGAGTCCCAGCTTTTTAAGATCCAACATGTTACAAGAGGAATATCAGCTGAAATATCCAAACTTAAATATATTTTGACACTGGTACCATTATCTTTGAATGGCGCCTCTGCACTAATTGTTGCACCTTTAAACTCTTTTTTTTATTTCAACATTTCCTATATGGTGTTATCTTATCTTGAAGACACTTAAACACAAAACAATAGATATCAGACACACCTAATCAACATGTTCAATACATATCAACAACTTTACCTAAATACAGCCTCAAGAAATGCCCTAAATGTAAGGCTTTCCTACAGTCATATGCATAAACCAATAAATCTACAAAAATTCAATTTAATTCGTTTTTGCACATTTTGTGAATCTCTCTCATGTACAAAAAACGGATCTGCGAAATATAATTACAACTGCCACCGTGGCAGTTTTATTTTATGTACGAGTACATCCCATTTGATGAAATAAATGGTTATTATTGGATATTATATAAAAATGTGCCTGTGCTTAAAACTGTATATTATATTGGCTTACATTATATTCTAATAGACCAAGATCATCAGCTAAATAAAGAATATTGAATAAGTATTTTGTTTCAATGGTGTCCTTTGTTTCTTACATCAGGAATTCCTTTCAATTTTTGTTATTGATTATTGATTCAGTTTTGAATGCTCGTCTCTAAGTTGAGTGTCATCAGAAGCTACTTGGCAAATTTAAAACATATTTATAAAATTATTAGAAATGTAAGAATGGCCTACATAGTGAAGTAAGATATATATCTGATTAATGTACATACTCTATGTGAGTCTTACAAAGAAAATGACTATGTGAGGTTAAGCTGTACAATAGAGGGGTTCCAAAATCAAGAGGGGGGGGGGGGTAATTCAGGGCTGTTAAATCAAGTGGCATGGAATAAAGGGTTAGCATGATGAGGATTTGGGGATCAATAATTTGCTTTAGAAATAATTTCATAATAGGCTATTCATCAATCATAAACATATTGATGAGTATATAAAACTCCAGATAAAGGGAATCAGATCTCAATTTTTACTGGTTCAAAACAATTGGTTAAATCACAACAAATAAAACTTATCCTGACTAGTCGAGTCAAAGTAAAGCGAACATCTTTATTAGTTACATTCAATATGCTGTGGGTTAAACATCATAACATTGAGTAAACAACCATAGGTCGCTCATTAAAAAACCTCCCATAGCCTAGAAACTAATAATTATGTGATCCAAGATTATTACATTGGCACACAGTCTTATATCATGTCTAGAATATTTTATTTGATTGGATAATAAATATTTTTGTTCAAATAAAGAAATGAATCTTAACGTTAACAAGAAAATCATGTTTAACTCATTGACTTATACTTGAAGGTTAAATCATCACTTAAGAATCATATTTAGGTATTATTTAAATTGATTATTACATGCTTTATCAGCTAAGTAATGAATGATTAATAACTTTGATCAATAATCCTATTTATTTATCTGGAAAGTCAATCAAGGTTGATATCTGATTTCCAACAACTGAACATATGTCTGTTCTTCTGACTCAGTCTTCAGTAGAGACAATAAGGGAGGTACCCTATACGCAGAGTCATAGTTATAAACTACCCTCTGAATAGTACCACGCTGACCCTTTCTCAACCAATCAGCGAGGTGGAAGGAACATGTGCTAGATACGTGCTCATTAACTATGCGGTGATGTCAGAGGAAATGACCAACTCTGATTGGGCCGATGAGATCAGAGATTTATTGTAAACTGAATGAGTGAAGATGAAGCTCTCTTTTAAGAAGTGAAGTCAAACGAATTCAAAGGTTATAAGGGAGGAGGGCAAAGATTGAGAAAAACAACATTCAATGACAAGGCATTAACATGACAAGATGTTAGACGATGAACTCTGAACAAGGACTGTCGAACACCAAATGCTGAAGACTGTCCACAAAAAAAGTTGGAGACTTATAACAATATATCACCACTTCTGCTAGTGGTGGTAGTGACATTATTATGAAAAACATGTCATGAAAGACATAACTGAGTCATGTTTAATGTTTTATTTTAACATTTACCCTTTCTCCATTCTGATTTATCGAAGTCCCCTTTATCTTAAAAGCTTGTGAGAGATCCTCTGCTCTCTTCCTATAGTAAAGGCTATAGGAACCCACAATAGTTTGATTTCGATTTTTTAAAAGATAGCTACGTGCCTAATGAGATATGCTGTAACCCCCAGGGCAATATGACGATGTTGTATCAGAATGTCAGGGTATATCTCTCTTTTGATACTAATCACTGTTAAAAAATGTAGAAATATTTTTGGAAACCACAATGGATACATACCAAAATTGTTGCATATAAATTTATCAGAGGCATAACTGCACCATTTCCAGTCAGTAAATAAGCAAGAAAATCATTTTGAACTCATTGACGTATACATGAAGATTTTAAGAATCATATTTAGGTATTATTTAAATGAATTATTATATGGACATGCTTTTTCACTAAAATAATAGTGTCTGTCTGGGTGTATTTGTCATGGAGTGCCCATTGTTAAAAACATTGAATGTCGACCAATGGTTAAGTGACTAATTATGCACCTACAGGTTAGACAGGTAAGATAATACACAGGTACGTGATGACTACATGTAATTGCCAGCTTCCACCCATTGTCTTAATACAGGAAACAATTGTCTCGAATCTCATAACTGTCAATATTGAGGAACTATGTACATTGTAGATATTTATTTCCGTAAGGTTCAGAGGCTACCAATTACATACTACCTATTGATAAAGCTCTCTTTTTTTTAGAAGAGCAACCGATCCATTAAAAGGATAAATATTATCTATATAGATGTATAAATATTTGCTGTACATCACATTGATTTTATGATTTATGAATTATAATCTTTAGAATTGTTCCACATAATTTCATCAACAATCTTAAAAGTAGAGAGAATTGTTTGATCAAGCCTAGACAATCCATCGTGATAACTGAACCCCTTCGTCTTAAACTTTCCAAGACAGATAAGAAGGGGTCTGGTAAAATTAGAATACAAGTATAAGTAAAACAATCACAACATAACATTTTTCTGCCTATAAGTAGCTAATATTCATCTCATATTCAAACAAACCAAACTCCTGTATAAAATGTCATGACATTTGAGGTCACTGAGACCATATTGGCATCAAAACTGTAAAATCTCCATGAAACTCTCTGGTATAAATTCAAATAAAGATTTTACCTGTAAGGTGTGTACTCCAAAACAGCAACATCAAAGCCAAGCAGTGTTTGAAGTAATCCATATCTATTTTCTAATAATTATCCTCCAGTTATCCTGATGTTATCCAGTTATCCTCCAATTTGAGTTTTTCAAATTATTTTCAACCTTCATTTGTATGCTGTTTGACCTGAAATGATTCAATCTATTGTTGTACATATACTTTTATTGCATATCTACAAGTATTACTTAAGCACTAAGTTAAAGCACACTATGCATACACTCATATATCTCTTATCATTAAAAATACATGTTAAATTCTTCTTGTTTTTTTGTAGGCGATAGCTGTTGTAAAAACACCCAGGAGAAAAAAGCAAAGGCGTTCATCCAAGTAGAACAATATTTGACAATGTTTGGGATTTTAAATGCACTCTCTGCCCATGTGGTATACTTTAAATAGCGTCTTTGTATTTAATTTTTGATGGTTAACATTTTTCTGCATGTGAGTGAATACAGGGCATTTTAATTAGCATTTATCATTCTTTGATCTCTAACTTCCTATAAATGAGGATCGAAATTTACATGCAATCAACTGATCAATATACATACCCATCCTCCAACTAAAATGTCATGAACTAATTTGACTTTGAATTGAACCAATATAAGGTAAAAATGTTATCCTTATCATTAAATCCTTGCATAGCTCTTTTCCAATGTATCCAAACCCCCTTCCTCTCTTCATAATCCACTTTGAATGTGTATACCAACATATAGATTAATCTATCCCACGTTTGTATAAATAGGCATTTATAGAAATATAAAGGTTTATTATGTATGAATCATGTTGTATCAAAAGTAAGGCATACAATGAATGGCAGATTAAATGAACTTAACCATATAATTTATTGCATTTCCCATACACAGCATAACCTCTTTTCTATTTAGTGAAAATACCTTTATTATTGAAAATATTCCATTGACTCCCATCTATGTCAGCCCGTCCCTTTTATGCTTCAGTATATATTTATTAAGACACCCTACTTATCAAATGAACCCATCTCTTCAGTTATCATAATTAAGCATCCATTTTCTATAATACAGATTTTATTGAATAACTATTTCAGATTGTACCTGTACATGTAATAACCAGCATGAATGGAATCTACAAAGTTGCATGCAATGTGTATTTCAGTGTATACCAGCAGTAATGAACCTGGATTCACGAAGATTACAATAAATACATGTAGATCACATATTGAATTCAATTTATACACAAGCATAATACTTTATAATTTTATAATAGGATTTTTATTGTTTTGTTTAATAAACATTCTGAGCAATTGTTTACAACTTTTCATTGCTGGAGGTCTAACCCATGTTAAGTTGTTGCCCCCCCCCCCCACTTTCTGATATTCTAATGTTCAGTAGCATCTCTTACTGCATCGCATAAGGAGTGAGTTGGAAAAGGTGTGTTTTACCATAATGCTCTCTGATGACTGATATTGAACTGTGACCATAGCTGTGACTAATCCAAAATCAAAATAATTCATCAACATGATGTTATGTAACAGTCTCTTATATGGAGGTGATAGTTGTGTTGCTAAAGAAAATTCTCCAAGGTAATAGACTCTATTCATTATTGATAAAACTTTGGTCTATGGTTTCTCATATTATTATCCTTTGACAAATCCCGAACGAAGACTCTGCAAAGTCCGAGATATGACAAAGTCAAAGAGGATGGGGGGGGGTTAAAAACTAATTGAGGATGAAGGCACAGTTCGACAATATGGCAAAAAAATGTGTGTCTTGTAAAATATAGCAATCATGATTCATGAATAAGATAACTTACCTTCAAGCCTCTGCAGAAGTCATTTCTAATTTCTATGGCAATATTTTGACTTTGAGTCTGAGATAATTTTCAGTTTCATCATTGAATGAATTCATGGCCGTCGCCAGGGGGTCGCGTCGGGTGCGCTTGCACCCCCCCTTGAGTTTTGCCTCGTCGCTTTTTACAAAATTTGACTCGTCACTTTTTTTCAATTGCCTCAGAAAAAACGTGAATATTTTGCCTCAAGTTATTTGTAGCACTTTCTCCATGGCTTTGACGCCACTTTCCATACGAGAACCTGGAATGTCACTCTGATTAATACCCAAGATCTATTAAAAATGAGAGAGAGAGAATGTTTCGTTCTCATAAACTTCCGGTTGTAGCATTGCGCGAATAAATTTGACCATGATACTTTTAGTGTATTGCGCAACCTTTTCAAATTTGCGCAAGAAATTTTATCCCCCCTTCAACACTGAACGAAAAGCACAGCCTGAGCACAAATCTTCTGTAAATGCTCCAATTTATTTCTACAGATTAGTACGATATAATTTGGATTAGTTGTGAGAGGATGATTTGTAGAGGTGATGAATGTAAGTAATAGTTACTTTTTGAGCGTAAAAATACTGAAAAAATAAAAACCAGAACAATAGGAACAAGACGATTAATTTTCAAGTTTTTTGAGAAGAATATTGCTGTGTTAGCGTGGTCGTGTCCATTATTAGTGTGGGGGTGGAAGGATTCGTTAAAAATTCTCTCCTCTTCTGTTGATGAATAATCAAGATGCATACACCCATTTTTAACAAGATACATTTAAATAAACATGTTTCGCATATTTTGCGTATTTATATGGAAGAAGCCAATCACTCAAAAGTTGTCTGCTAAGCTGACACCCCTTTCTCTTAAATATATTTCCCCCATTCCTGAATTTCACTTTTCACGATAGATTGTGTATTTTTACAACTGCCACTTATTAAAATATTCGCCAGAGTTGTGTCTCTATAGGTATGGAACCAACACACCTGATTCTTTGAAGCCTATTTCACTTTATTTTCCTTTCGTCATGTGCTGAACTCTCCTGTATTTGATATAGATTATCTATATACAAATCATATTCCCGGGATTTACCTCATTAAAGGCTGGGCAAGTGCGTCAGCATTTGAAGGCGTTTGCCAGGATCAGAACCCAGTGATCTCCCCATGTCACTTTTACCAGGGGCTCCCCCTACTTGAAACCAAAGGCCCGCCAGTTGGCACCCAGTTGGAATCTGCACTTCAACTTCTGATTTGAAAAATGAGTGAAGTAAGCACATACACTGAGATATTGTGAGGGTAGCGAGTGCTGATTTTTTCAGGCTTGAAATCTTGCACCCAGTTGAAATTTTTTTTTGGGGAGAACACTGGAACCACAATGACAGAGGAGAGACTTTCAGATTTAGCTATGATATTTATTCACTATGACCATGACATTTCTTTGGATAAAGCATGGACAGTAGCAGATTTATTTGCATTGTTGCATCCAAGGAGGTTAAAACTGACCAGTCTTTGTATGAGTGAAGAGTAACGATAGATTCAGATCTAGGAAGAAGTCACTGTCTACAAAAAATTGTCTCAATTTTACCATGCTCATATCATTCCTTTTCATTTATATTTTGGGAGTTTTATAACAGATTGTAAGAGATACATTTTTTTGTTTTTGTAGTTTTGTCACTTCTTATAGATCTGATTCTATCTTTAACTATGTGACTAGTCAAACAACAGTATTATGGTGGTTTCTTTAGAATATGTTGGTGCTATTTACTTACATACAATACATGTAACAAGTTACAGATTGTAAGTGAAAATATCTGTAGAAAACTTTGTCAACTGTTTTGTCAAAATATTAGTAAGACATATGTCCTAGCATTGACTGATATATCACCAGTCAATTCATTAGTTATATGTAACATGACTTTTTGTTTGTTGTCATCTAAAAGCTATATAAGGCTGAATTGAACATCCTCAAGTTGATGTCAAATTAAAGGAATTTTCAGTATTTAAAGGTTGTACATATACTGCATTGCATTAAATTGCCATGATATTTAAAATGTCATTTCCTTGTAAAATGATATTTAAGATCTTGATCCTTTCCTTTTAAAATGCTTTTTTTGTGAAATGTAATCTTTAATAATATTGCAATGGTGCCATGGGGTGCCAAATCAGTGAGACTTACTGTAACAGAGTATGGGGTGCCAAATCAGTGATACTGTTACAGAGTACATAGCCTTGCAATGGTATCTATACAATTTTGTTTTGATTAAGACTCATTGTTAGGTCCATTTAAAGAATTATATAGAGGTTAAAAAGAGTTGCCAATATTCAGTATTTTACTGCATTGTCATGACATATAAGATTATCTTTTCATTCCTTATTATTTAAAGGTATTTATGTTTTTAAAAGTTGTGTTGCAATGCCATGATACCAAAGATCTTGTTTAGTCAGTCATTAAACAGAATATTATCGGTTATTTAAAATGTTTTTTATTGAGACAAGTTTTGATTATTATGGCTGTTCAAAAGAGTATAACATGTCCAAATAAACCATATCTAACAATGGTTAATCACAATGTGATATCTAAAATGGCTAATAAATAAAACAGTTTGAAATATTAGTAATCTAGATGATGTGAATGTTACTTTATGCACTATACATGATGTGTGAGTAGATTTTGTCCCATTGACACTTTTTGCCGCGCTTTCGATTTTTTTTTGCCTCATTGAAAGAAAAAATTTGCCTCATTAATCTGAAAAATTTGCCTCATGCACCCCCCCTTGAGAAATCCTATCTACGCCAGTGGAATTTATTAGAAAAGTAAATTGTAACTGTAAACTGCACCCTTACCTGTTTTTTCTTTTTCTCCACTATCCTACAGTAATGATTATACTCCTTTTCATTGATGTCTTTATCATACATCACCAATTCATCTGATATTCACACTTTGTCTTTACTAAGTTTTGAACTTTTGCAGTTTCAATATTGAGGCTGTCTCATTTAAAAGGGGTGTCGGGTTATTTCCGGGAATTTATTCGTATTTACGCATTATTCCTTACTTGAGTGAAGAGAGTGATTGCTATGGTTATTGATAAGAAATGACTGCATAACGATTGGGTAAAATAAATGAGTGCAACAGTAAAAAGGAGGTTGAACCTTAACATGCATAAAAACTTTTTAAAGCCTTCATCCCTATTACAGTAGCTGATAGACTCGTTCAATTTCCAAGCTATTGCGATGACATCTATTTAATGTATTATAAAATAAACATTGTTATATTATTTTTCAATATCAAATCTGCATGATTGTTGGCTCTTGGAAATCTCCTCGTATAGACTGAATATAGAAAACTTTCTTTCTGGCGATGAAAACCCTGGTTGGCTTGGCTAGTTCAGAGGTTCCTCTTTTAAACTTACAGAGAGAAGACACAGTGGGCAATTTAAAAAGCAGTGTCAAGCAAACTTGCCCAGGGACATTCTGGTATGTCACAGCTCCTCTTACATGTATCTGATGTTTGCGAGAAAAAAGGAGAAGGGCAAAGTTAATTATCACGATGGTCCAGGATATAGGATATCAAACTCTATGTCAAGTTAAATAAGTGTAATGGTGAACAATTGAAATCGTCAGATACCTAACATTTTGGGAGGTCTTACACCTTATCACAAGAAATAATCCCATTTGAGTTTAAATTTTCATCATGTAACAAGGTTCTAAAAGATGGCTGCAGAGTCTCTGCCTGTTGTTTTAAAAAAAAAGTTTAATTTAATAATGTCAACAAAACATAATAATCATATTTATCAGTTTATGACTTTATTTTTAATTTGCCTCAATAAAATATACAATTTAATAAATGCAAGTTGTTTTACTATGCCATGCATATATAATATTTTCTAAGCACTAATAAAAGTGGTCCATGTATGAAATAAAATATCAAATGTTAGAACTTGATGTCATTGTGGAGCTTTTAATGTGACAAGAAAAACAGGAGAAGTATGAATAGGAATCAAATGAAAGATAGGGCCAGAAAATGCTCTCAAATACGAGGTAATACTTCATTTGTGTGTACATAGATGCAGGATGTTATTCTCATTTTCTAGTACAATGTAGCATTGCCACTAATTTTCATTGACATGTGTTAAACAATAAATATTAATGTGTCAAACCTAGATTTGTTTCAACCTCTCAAAAAGTCTAAAATTCTTATTTTTATTCTTAAGAAATATCCAAAACTGGTAAATATATACAGTTTTTAATTTTAGGAGGTTCTGCTTTCTTGGTTAAAGGGAAATTTCCAACTGGGTATGTCCAATACAATAGATCACTACATTTGTACTTACAGGGCAATCAGAGGCTTACCACTGGCAAGATGCAATATTCAAGATTCACCAGTTATATAATTGTGTCCTTTTGTCATTGGTATGACATCAGAGACATGTATGTATTGTTGAATTTAGTATACATAAAATTTGGAAATACTTAGTTCTGCTGTTTTTACTCAAAACCATGGGCATTCAATATCTATTGAAAGCCCATGTCAAAACCCACCTTTTCATATTTTTCAAGATTCCGTTTCCAAACTTCATTCCTTGATGACGAGTCAAAAATTAATGATTCCAACCTCTAGAGAAAACTGAAGCCTCTAATTTTGAATCTGTAAAATACTTCTCTCATACCTGTATCATACATGTATAAGGTGCAATGATTAAATGAATTACTTTTGTCACTAAAACAGACAATATATTATCAAATCAAATATATCATTATATGAAGATAAATTTCACATTCACATTGACATGTTTTACTGTATTTCCATGAAGCTTGACTTATATCTTTCATGCTGACAGATGGTCTATTCATAAACTCAGAGGTTCATAAATATAAGGACATCTCATCTGGTACACCCTGTATTAAATGAACACATTTCTATAAGTCTCTATAATGTCAATTATATTTTATTTCTATGGTGATTTGAGAAACATTCTCCTTTATACAAGGCCAGCAATGTCCAGCATTATACAATATGATTTAAATTCATATCTACAATTTACATTTAAAATAAAACACTACTGAAGTGAATAGATGCCTAAGATGGCCATCTCAAAAGTAATTCATCCATGTTATATTCTATTTTCTTCATTACAGCAGTTCACCGTTTCTTGATGAGGGTAACAATTAACATTGAATTAACAATTTGGCCAACAATTAATCTGATGTATATATTTGTTGTCATGGGTGCAGCCAGGCATGAGGCAGATGACAGATGAGGCAATTACTTCGCCAGATGTTTGTAGAAATACATTTCCAGACATTTTTTTTCAACTAAAAATGTGGAAATGAGCTCCAAAGCCTTACTCTGCCTTGATTGATTTCAGATCCTGGCCACACCCCTGTTTGCAAGTTCATATTGTAACACATGTCCTTGCTCACAAATTGAGATACATCCACTAATAAACAGTCAGTCAGGACCCAGTTCAAAATGGCAAACAAGGTGGTCTCTAATTAACTATCATAAATGATCATAAGCATCACCTGAATGAGCCATTTTTGGGGGCCATGCACTGAATTGTAAATATTTCAAGGTCAGTGTTTACATAATGCTGTCAATAGTATTTACAATAATACTCCTTATATTCAAATAAATAAATAATGTATTTTTGGTGCAATAATTTGAGCCTTTGTGGCTGTTCAATTAGAAATAACTACTGAAACATGGTATAGCTGACTATTCTATTTTTTACATCTTCAGTCATACAGTATTTTAACTCCAAGGGTGTCTCTCAAAGCATACCGGGTAGTTTTATAATATACTAATAAATGTGTCCATATCTTTTCAAAGCAATATGCAAGAAATGCACTTAACAAGAGCAAGTTATATGTGTCACCTTTATTAGCAGCTAGATCTATGCGCCATCTTTATTAGCAGCAAGATCTATGCGCCATCTTTATCAACAGCAAGATCTTTGCGCCACCTATATCTCATAAACAATCCTATGGCACAGTCATACACACAACCACATTTACATACACAACAAAGCATCTTTCAAAGTTTTCATAATGCCATGGAATTACATTTCAGTATTTGATGTACTCTACTAAGAGTTTATTCAGGCTACAGGATTTACTGACCACATAACCCAGTGATCTCCCCAGGATATTCTATTAACTGGGTGCTAAATTCTCATTCGATCTGTTTTTTTGTCAAAGTATCTCAATATTTCACAGTTTTGGCAGGGTGCAGAGATTTTCAACTGGGAGCATGTCATTTTCAGATTTCCAACTGGGAGCATGTCATTTTCAGCTTTTCAACTTGGAGCTGCACCCAGTTGCTCAATGCTGGGGAGATCACTGTAACCAATGTTAAATATACAGCCAGGTGTGGTGCTTTCTCGGATGGACTGCATTTCCATCTCTCATGTTTCTTCAAATATGTTTGTTCATGAGAGTATATAAAGTACTGGTCCTTACTGCTTAGTAAACCATGACCATGATGAAAAGTCTGAAAGTAGGGTAATAATTTCCTATGTCACACTCCCTATTGCACGTATACTTGTAGATTAGAGGCAGCCTGCATGAGCACCTTAAGTCCAGGCATAAATGAGCTGATCTCAGAGAAGTTTCCTTGAGTTATCATCTGAGTATGTATAGATAGTCCAGTTTGGTAATCAAACTGTTGTATAGCCTGGATTATCTGGTGAAGACCTAGCGTCACATTGGAAGATAACTGAAATGGGAAAGCATATATTGTAACATTGGCATGTATAGATAGTCCAGTTTGGTAATCAAACTGTTGTATAGCCTGGATTATCTGGTGAAGACCTAGCGTCACATTGGAAGATAACTGAAATGAGAAAGCACATATTGTAACATTGGCATGTACAGATAGTCCAGTTTGGTAATCAAACTGTTGTATAGCCTGGATTATCTGGTGAAGACCTAGCGTCACATTGGAAGATAACTGAAATGAGAAAGCACATATTGTAACATTGGCATGTACAGATAGTCCAGTTTGGTAATCAAACTGTTGTATAGCCTGGATTATCTGGTGAAGACCTAGTGTCACATTGGAAGATAACTGAAATGAGAAAGCACATATTGTAACATTGGCATGTATGTATAGATAGTCCAGTTTGGTAATCATACTGTTGTATAGCCTGGATTATCTGGTGAAGACCTAGCGTCACATTGGAAGATAACTGAAATGAGAAAGCACATATTGTAACATTGGCATGTATGTATAGATAGTCCAGTTTGGTAATCATACTGTTGTATAGCCTGGATTATCTGGTGAAGACCTAGCGTCACATTGGAAGATAACTGAAATGGGAAAGCATATATTGTAACATTGGCATGTATAGATAGTCCAGTTTGGTAATCAAACTGTTGTATAGCCTGGATTATCTGGTGAAGACCTAGTGTAACATTGGAAGATAACTGAAATGAGAAAGCACATATTGTAACATTGGCATGTATGTATAGATAGTCCAGTTTGGTAATCAAACTGTTGTATAGCCTGGATTATCTGGTGAAGACCTAGCGTCACATTGGAAGATAACTGAAATGAGAAAGCACATATTGTAACATTGGCATGTATGTATAGATAGTCCAGTTTGGTAATCAAACTGTTGTATAGCCTGGATTATCTGGTGAAGACCTAGCGTCACATTGGAAGATAACTGAAATGAGAAAGCATATATTGTAACATTGGCATGTATAGATAGTCCAGTTTGGTAATCATACTGTTGTATAGCCTGGATTATCTGGTGAAGACCTAGTGTCACATTGGAAGATAACTGAAATGAGAAAGCACATATTGTAACATTGGCATGTATAGATAGTCCAGTTTGGTAATCAAACTGTTGTATAGCCTGGATTATCTGGTGAAGACCTAGTGTCACATTGGAAGATAACTGAAATGAGAAAGCACATATTGTAACATTGGCATGTATGTATAGATAGTCCAGTTTGGTAATCAAACTGTTGTATAGCCTGGATTATCTGGTGAAGACCTAGCGTCACATTGGAAGATAACTGAAATGGGAAAGCATATATTGTAACATTGGCATGTATAGATAGTCCAGTTTGGTAATCATACTGTTGTATAGCCTGGATTATCTGGTGAAGACCTAGTGTCACATTGGAAGATAACTGAAATGGGAAAGCATATATTGTAACATTGGCATGTATAGATAGTCCAGTTTGGTAATCATACTGTTGTATAGCCTGGATTATCTGGTGAAGACCTAGCGTCACATTGGAAGATAACTGAAACGAGAAAGCATATATTGTAACATTGGCATGTATAGATAGTCCAGTTTGGTAATCATACTGTTGTATAGCCTGGATTATCTGGTGAAGACCTAGTGTCACATTAGAAGATAACTGAAATGGGAAAGCATATATTGTAACATTGGCATGTATAGATAGTCCAGTTTGGTAATCATACTGTTGTATAGCCTGGATTATCTGGTGAAGACCTAGTGTCACATTGGAAGATTACTGAAATGAGAAAGCACATATTGTAACATTGGCATGTATGTATAGATAGTCCAGTTTGGTAATCAAACTGTTGTATAGCCTGGATTATCTGGTGAAGACCTAGCGTCACATTGGAAGATAACTGAAATGGGAAAGCATATATTGTAACATTGGCATGTATAGATAGTCCAGTTTGGTAATCATACTGTTGTATAGCCTGGATTATCTGGTGAAGACCTAGTGTCACATTGGAAGATAACTGAAATGGGAAAGCATATATTGTAACATTGGCATGTATAGATAGTCCAGTTTGGTAATCATACTGTTGTATAGCCTGGATTATCTGGTGAAGACCTAGCGTCACATTGGAAGATAACTGAAACGAGAAAGCATATATTGTAACATTGGCATGTATAGATAGTCCAGTTTGGTAATCATACTGTTGTATAGCCTGGATTATCTGGTGAAGACCTAGTGTCACATTAGAAGATAACTGAAATGGGAAAGCATATATTGTAACATTGGCATGTATAGATAGTCCAGTTTGGTAATCATACTGTTGTATAGCCTGGATTATCTGGTGAAGACCTAGCGTCACATTGGAAGATAACTGAAATGAGAAAGCACATATTGTAACATTGGCATGTATGTTGTTGTATAGATAGTCCAGTTTGGTAATCATACTGTTGTATAGCCTGGATTATCTGGTGAAGACCTAGTGTCACATTGGAAGATAACTGAAATGAGAAAGCATATATTGTAACATTGGCATGTATAGATAGTCCAGTTTGGTAATCATACTGTTGTATAGCCTGGATTATCTGGTGAAGACCTAGCGTCACATTGGAAGATAACTGAAATGAGAAAGCATATATTGTAACATTGGCATGTATAGATAGTCCAGTTTGGTAATCATACTGTTGTATAGCCTGGATTATCTGGTGAAGACCTAGCGTCACATTGGAAGATAACTGAAATGAGAAAGCACATTTTGTAACATTGGCATGTATAGATAGTCCAGTTTGGTAATCATACTGTTGTATAGCCTGGATTATCTGGTGAAGACCTAGCGTCACATTGGAAGATAACTGAAATGAGAAAGCACATATTGTAACATTGGCATGTATAGATAGTCCAGTTTGGTAATCATACTGTTGTATAGCCTGGATTATCTGGTGAAGACCTAGCGTCACATTAGAAGATAACTGAAATGAGAAAGCACATATTGTAACATTGGCATGTATAGATAGTCCAGTTTGGTAATCATACTGTTGTATAGCCTGGATTATCTGGTGAAGACCTAGTGTCACATTGGAAGATAACTGAAATGAGAAAGCACATATTGTAACATTGGCATGTATAGATAGTCCAGTTTGGTAATCATACTGTTGTATAGCCTGGATTATCTGGTGAAGACCTAGCGTCACATTGGAAGATAACTGAAATGAGAAAGCACATATTGTAACATTGGCATGTATAGATAGTCCAGTTTGGTAATCAAACTGTTGTATAGCCTGGATTATCTGGTGAAGACCTAGCGTCACATTGGAAGATAACTGAAATGAGAAAGCACATATTGTAACATTGGCATGTATAGATAGTCCAGTTTGGTAATCATACTGTTGTATAGCCTGGATTATCTGGTGAAGACCTAGCGTCACATTAGAAGATAACTGAAATGAGAAAGCACATATTGTAACATTGGCATGTATAGATAGTCCAGTTTGGTAATCATACTGTTGTATAGCCTGGATTATCTGGTGAAGACCTAGTGTCACATTGGAAGATAACTGAAATGAGAAAGCACATATTGTAACATTGGCATGTATAGATAGTCCAGTTTGGTAATCATACTGTTGTATAGCCTGGATTATCTGGTGAAGACCTAGTGTCACATTGGAAGATAACTGAAATGGGAAAGCACATATTGTACATTGGCATGTATAGATAGTCCAGTTTGGTAATCATACTGTTGTATAGCCTGGATTATCTGGTGAAGACCTAGCGTCACATTGGAAGATAACTGAAATGAGAAAGCACAAATTGTAACATTGGCATGTATAGATAGTCCAGTTTGGTAATCATACTGTTGTATAGCCTGGATTATCTGGTGAAGACCTAGCGTCACATTAGAAGATAACTGAAATGAGAAAGCACATATTGTAACATTGGTATGTATGTATAGATAGTCCAGTTTGGTAATCATACTGTTGTATAGCCTGGATTATCTGGTGAAGACCTAGTGTCACATTGGAAGATAACTGAAATGGGAAAGCACATATTGTAACATTGGCATGTAAAGATAGTCCAGTTTGGTAATCATACTGTTGTATAGCCTGGATTATCTGGTGAAGACCTAGTGTCACATTGGAAGATAACTGAAATGAGAAAGCACATATTGTAACATTGGCATGTATAGATAGTCCAGTTTGGTAATCATACTGTTGTATAGCCTGGATTATCTGGTGAAGACCTAGCGTCACATTGGAAGATAACTGAAATGAGAAAGCACATATTGCAACATTGGCATGTATAGACAGTCCAGTTTGGTAATCATACTGTTGTAAAGCCTGGATTATCTGGTGAAGACCTAGCGTCACATTGGAAGATAACTGAAATGAGAAAGCACATATTGTAACATTGGTATGTATGTATAGATAGTCCAGTTTGGTAATCATACTGTTGTAAAGCCTGGATTATCTGGTGAAGACCTAGTGTCACATTGGAAGATAACTGAAATGAGAAAGCACATATTGTAACATTGGCATGTATAGACAGTCCAGTTTGGTAATCATACTGTTGGATAGCCTGGATTATCTGGTGAAGACCTAGCATCACATTGGAAGATAACTAAAATGAGAAAGCACATATTGTAACATTGGCATGTATAGATAGTCCAGTTTGGTAATCATACTGTTGTATAGCCTGGATTATCTGGTGAAGACCTAGCATCACATTGGAAGATAACTGAAATGAGAAAGCACATATTGTAACATTGGTATGTATGTATAGATAGTCCAGTTTGGTAATCATACTGTTGTATAGCCTGGATTATCTGGTGAAGACCTAGTGTCACATTGGAAGATAACTGAAATGGGAAAGCATATATTGTAACATTGGCATGTATGTATAGATAGTCCAGTTTGGTAATCATACTGTTGTATAGCCTGGATTATCTGGTGAAGACCTAGTGTCACATTGGAAGATAACTGAAATGAGAAAGCACATATTGTAACATTGGCATGT